GGAAGTCTGATGGCAAAATCGATTTTGTATGACTTACAAAATAAAGTAAGGTAAAGGTTCATGTGATATAAATAGACTGAGTTCTTATTTTCAGTTGACCAGAGACAGGATGGCCAAGCCCCCACAGGGGGCCTTTCTCAGGGCCACAGCATCTCCAAAAAGACCGGCATGTGGGCCCAGTTATGAGACGCTGTCCCCTCCACCAAAGGAGAAGGAGGGAAGACATGGAGGAGGAAGAGAATGAGTCTGTGGACCTGCCGTTTAGCCGGGACACCTTTAGTGATCTCTGGAACAATGCCATCACCCCATATATGTATAGACCTATTTCTTTAGCATTTTATTCCATAAACAGGAGGGAAATGTTAGAAATGTGTTTTCTCTTGACATGTCTTGTGTCTCCATTTTCAGTCATGCTGAGTTGAGGCTTTCCATCAGGCCCAAACACATTTATTTAATCCAAATGTTAACCAGGCTCTAACTACTGTGTTTTCATTGCACTAATGACTGATGTGTGTCAAGTTGTAAAATGCAATAAAGAAAGTTGGATAAAACCAGGCTGTTCAGACCAGGAGAGTCAGATTTTCAGATGTGATTCACCAGATTAGTTAAAATTATTCTGGCAGGTTTATGCAGAGTATAGGCATCTTGTTTCGATTAAAAAAATAAAATAAAAATCTTGTACCTTCTCAACCGCTATTCTTTTACCCGTGTCACTTTGGACACCTCGCCATAACCCATCTACTCCTCCAAAACTTCCAGGATGGGCAGGAGTGTAATCTTCTCTCCTCAGTAAGTTTTTCCCTGCCATGGGTTATCTTCACATGTTCTGATGGAATGAAAGAGAAGGACACTTGCATTCGGGTTTTTTTTTTTATTATTAACATGTATAGTTAAACAAAAAAAAGCACTCATTTAACAGGATATGAAAAGAACACTCATTTTTAATATGGAAAATAAAAACATTTGGTTAACGGGATATCAAAAACTGATGAATGTGACGGGCAGTTAGAAGTGTCTGAATGGATTCGATAAATCGTGCATTGCAAGATTCATCAAACCGTGGTAATTGCAGTCAAAAAAGTCATCCTCCAGGACGTCCTTACACTGATGCCGTCTCAGACTTGGGTGATTGACTGAACAGCCGTTACAGGTTTCTTCCTGGAACATTCTGATCGCTGTGTTGAGCAGATGGAGCACATCGGTTTTAACGGCTCTGATGAACCCAAAACGGACCCATCTGTCAAATTCATCCGCTCTAGCCTCTACATCCTCCAGAGGGGGTATTCCATGCCCGGGTGGAGGCTCAGAGTCCTCCTCCAGGTCCACCACCACCGGCTGAAGGAGAGACTTGACGCTGTGGGGCTGAGTCTGGACCCATCAAAGGTCCGCTTCCAGATCGTTGTGAGGAGGCTTTCGCTGAGGAGACATTTCCTTCATCCTATAAATAAAAAAATAAAACTTTTAACCCTAATCCTTTTATTGTTCTCCTGGTGACCTTTGACCCGAGGGGTCATAAATCATAAGGCAAAAAAGGCATAAGGGCAATAAATCACATTTTGCCATTAAGTGTTCCACTTACTTTTTGCCATCCCCCCCCCCCCCCCCTCAATGGTGGACTCACCTTGTCCCTGAACATGCTGGTGCTCCAGGCAGAGGTACAGCTGGGGGGGGTGAATAGACAGCCCCCCCTGGCTGGGGGGTCTGGAAGGTAGACTTGTGGGGGGG